GTGATATATAATGCTATTGGAAGTATAAATATTACTAAAGAAGTTGTTATAGCGAGACTATAGATAAGTCTCGTTGAATATTATAATAATAGTAGTATTGAAAAAGAGGCGACGTTTTTTAATTAAATTTATTAGTATTAAAAAGAGGGTAAGCGCTAGTTTTTATATATAGGGCTTAATAGTAATAGGTTTAATAATAACGGGCTTAGTAGTAATAAGTTCAATAGTAATAGATTTAATAGTATTAGGTTTAACGGTACTGGGCTTAGTAGTAATAGGTTTAGTAATAATGGGCTTAGCGGTACCGGACTTAGTAGTACTGGGTTTAGCGGTACTGGGTTTAATAGTAACGGGTTCGGCGGCAACGAGCTTTATAGTAATAAAAATCTATTAAAATTAGTAAATTCGGAAAATAAGAGTCTATACTATATTTAAATCTTAAAGCTTTTATAAATTCCTAAATATCTTTAATAATTATATTAAATATATTTTTATTATTAATTTGTACTTCGCTAAGAAACGTATTACCTCTTCCTAATTTATATTCGAATAGGAATTTGTTGAAAAAATTGTTATCGAAGCTATCCTTCTAATTTAGTAGTACGAATTCAAGAAGCCGGTTATAGTTATTATTAGTAATATTATTAGTAATATCGATAGCGAAATAACTATTATTAATAAGAATGTTATTAATGTAATTAATAATAAAATTTTAATCTTCTTATATAGGATCTATTGTAAATTAAAACGATACTAATACTAATAAGGATTGTTATAGTTTGTATTAGTATAATAGAACGCGTTTTTGTATTATAGTTAATAAATTAGAGATAAAGTTAAATATATTTCTTATATTATAGTAGAAATTGGTTGAATATATAGTATCCGTATTTATTAATTTAAATAATTGTTTTTTTAATATAAGTACGCTATTACTATTATTAGATTGACTTGTATAGTATATATTTAATAAAAATAAACGTTAGAATTTATAATATTTATAATTATACTAAACCTAAAGTAATTTAATTGTATTCAATGTTAATTATATAGTTTAAGTATCTTCTATTCGCAATTAAATTTATATTAATTTCTATAGTAGAATGGTAGTGCTATTATATTATATTTCTGGTAGCCGCAATGTTCTGGTAGTACATTGCATTTTGGTGCGCGTCGCTAACACAGCGCATATTATTTAATATTTTTTCGATTTTTTTCTTTCCCCTAGTCTAAGAGCCCCCTTGTCGGAACCTATGCGAGTGTGAGTGGGTTCTAAGCGTAATAAGCGATTCCCTATCTTAGGCTGGTTAGTTGGCATTCCTGGCCTGAAAAGCACCGGCTTCGTTGTTGATCGCTGTGAATGGAGTCAAGTTTTGGTACATGAGGGTGGGACACCTGGTGGGACATAATCAACAGTTGTTCTTAGTCTAGTTTTGGCGTGGTGTGGACTAATAGTAGCGTTCCGAATTTTTTCCCTTGTCTAAAGACGTTGCAAGTCTCGCGTTAACAAACCGTTAAGTATTGATATGTAGATCTTCTGTCCTCCTCTTGACGGCCGAAACCAATGAAATGATGCCTGGGCGGGACAATATACCCTGCGTCTTTCCAACCCCTACAACGCTTTAAAGGATATCCAGTGTAAAGATCCATGCTCCCTATGAGCCAAACGTGGAGATGACGAATATCAGCATAGCGCCCATCTCGCGGTAAACCCTGTATCAAATAAGAACTAATACTCATCCTCTTCGTCCTCCTCATCCGCCATATCTATGATAAGCCCGCCTTCGTCATCTTCATCCTCGTCATCATCCTCACCCGATATCTCATTCCCCTCTTCGTCATCCTGGAAATCCGCATAGTTGCGCCCATCGTAATCATCCCCGCTAACACTGCCGTCGTCGTCGTCGTCGTCATTGTCGTTATCATCGTCTGAGTCCGGGATAGGGTTATTTCGGCGATGGAGTTCCAGCTTTTCTGCGAGAGTCAAAGGCCTGGCGGGGGGGTCTTCTTCGTCCGAGGAGTCGTCCGAGTCCGAGTCATCACTATCGCTCATGGATGATTTGTTTTCTTCGTCCTCGTCATCTGTATCGGAAACCGGGGGCCGTAATTGGCGACGGGACCTATTTTTCTTAGGCATCGTTACCTCCTCCTCATCTTCCTCCTCGTCGTCCTCCTCGTCTGACACGACTTTGTATCGATGCCTAGCTTTCCGCTTGCGTCGCCGCCTCACCATCTCTTCTTCTTCGTCTTCATCGTCATCCGAGATGACCACGTGGTCTTTGGGTCTTTCACCAGCCTTACTGCCCTCAGGACTTTGCTTTTTCTCCGTGGTCGACTCGTAGCCCATCTGCTCATCCTCATCCTCATCATCCGAAAGCACAACCGTGGCGCGGGCACGGCGTCGAGTCTCATTGCTGATACGCGCTGCTTTCCTGGGTGGTCCATCGTGTTTCTCTTCCTGTTCCGATTCCGATTCCAGAACCCGTTTCCTGCCGGAGCCCTTGGAGCAAGAGGGTCCAGCTCGGGGTGGTGGAGATGACTCATGATCCATCGTCGAGGAATCTGACGGCTCCATGCTGGAGAAGCGAGCACTGTCGCTTGGACCGAGATAAGCATGTTGATGGGCGTTGTGTCCAGAATGTGACGCATCGTCGGAGTCATCAATAATTTCAATCGGGCCATTGTCAAAACCAGCTAAACGTGCTGCATGGAATGGCCCCTGTTCTTCTTCATCGCTCGAAGCTTCCTCCTCCTCTTGGTCGCTATCATCTGTCACGACGACAAGATCATCTCCACTTTCGGACCCCGTGCCCCCGTCCTCGCTGATTTCTGAATCATCGATCCCTGAGCTCTCATATTCATCGGGCTCCTCATTCACAGACTCGTCGTCCAAATCATTGTCAGAGAAACTCCAGTCGGTGTTATCGTTTTGTTTCTTGACGATCTTCTCAAAGCGCCGGAGGCCGGTTTCATAAGAGAAGCGTATGAGAGGTTGAAATATATTTTCCTTGTCGTTCCCTTCAGTCTGTGTGTAATCCAGTGATCGAAAAACGAAATCGCCTAGACTTCCAGGAATGCTGTCGTCGACAGCGAACTCGCGGGTCTTGGAGGGGTTGCGCCAGCAATACATGTACTCAGCATCCTCTCCAACGCCTGGCTCCTCTTCTTGGGTCCGCACAAAATAATGGCGATTCTCTCTGTTTGCGCACCAGCGCAAAAGCCTTGCCGGGCAATCGGCATCGTCAATAACGCAGAACACCCTGCTCAACTGAGGGCAAAATTCCTTGAAGTATTGTTCGTATTCAGGCCGCTCCGACTCCGGTATCAGATGGATATCAAGGAAGCGGCCAAGCTCGACGTCGAGCGCCAGGTTCCGAATTTGATCTGAAAAGCCTGGTATTGGCCAAAAGGGAGGGGGGGCTTTGCCGCCTAAAATCACGACGTCATTCTTGCAATCCCAACGGATCGTGTTTCGGCCATTGCGGAGGGTGAGGACGTCGGGAAATTTCTTGAGCACATGCTCGCGGCTTTCTCGGTGAACAGCCGACATGACACGGGCGGGGGCCGTTTGCTGCTCAAGTATATGACTCTCCCAAACCTCCAACGGATTGTTGGGCAGGTTAGCTAGTTGGAAGACCATGCGGAACTCATAAACGCGTGACTTTGCCGTCAGGTCGGGGCAGAACATCTCCCAGATGCGCTGGCGGAGTTCATAAGGCAAGAGGGCAAACTTTGGGAAAGACTGGTGATGGTTGCGCCTGGCTTGGCGAGAGTTGGGGTATTCGTAGGTGTGTTCGGCAAGGTCGTCGTCGTCGTCGTCGTCGTCGTCGTCTTCATCCTCGCTTGGGTGGGACTCACTTGCTTCGAGGTCGAGCATCGACGCCAGAAGCTGGATACCCCTACTGTTACGTGTCAAGACTTCTGAGGAAGAGACCTCATCGCTGGAGTCGTCCGAGTCCGCAGAGGCTTCCGAATTGGATGCCGAGTCAGAGCCAGAGTCGGACCCGGACTCGCTGTCATTGCTCGCGTCCGAATTGTGGTCCAGGTGATGATCTTGATGGTCGGACTCATCTGACGAGGAGTCGGTGGCCATTTTGAATAGCCCAGCCGGTTACACGTATTGTGTGTTGTCTTTGTTCTTCGCGTGGATGTCCTGGATGTTCTGGATGTTGTTGTTGTGGAATGTGAAGACTGAAGCTGAGGAGTGTGTGCTTCCATGTGAATATGTAGAGGTAACCTCAAGGTATGGAAACGCGTGCAGCAGGTACTCGTAAAGGTGGGGCTCCCTTCACATCTGCCGGAAAGCTTAAAATCCCAGGGAACGGAGCCGGGCTGCCGAGCCCGAGATTGGTGTAGGGGTCACTACAGTAAAATACAGTGAATGTATGGACGGGAGTTCTGCCGGGAGGTGCACGGTTACACTCGGCCGCCGAGGACAGTGCGTCTACACGACTGCGACTGCCCTGGAGAAGGTGCTACAGTACTGGAGCTCCAGCAATGTCAGCAACGACCCGAGTTCATGGGAACCTTGATGGCAGGCACTTCAAGTTCCCAAGGTATTCTTGCCTGCCAAACCGCCAAAGTCGAAACCAATCGATACAAGACGACCAAGAAACGATCACATTATCCTGGGAGTAAGTCTACCATAGCGCGCGGAGGGGGTTCCAAGAAGTGATCAGCAGGATAGGTAGTTTTCCTCGTACGAAATGGTCCAGAAAATGATGTTCATTACAAAATCATCGTGGGACCATTTTCCACAGATTTTACACTTACCAGGATGATCTTAGGTACGGTCTCGGGTTGAAATAATCTTGAGAGCTACAAATCTACTTGTTTTAAGATAATTGTAGATACGACCTCTTTCATAAGTCAACTCGTGAAAATTTATCATCTTCAGGATTATTTTCCAAGAAGTACTCATCCTTAGGTAGCCATATATCGGTTGCAATATCATCCTACAATTATTTTGTAGACGAATTGTAAAATCTGTACTGGATCTTTTACAGTTGCAACTTGAAAGTAGCCTGGAGATCATTTCCTGGAACCCCCTCCGCGCGCCATGGTAGTAGTACTTCCTACAGTATGTAGTAGGTCGTTAGACTCACCCCTCGTCTTTTCCTGAGAAACGGCTTCCGTCCGTTTTCCACCTCGACTCCAGCTTCCATCCCGGCTTCCAGTGCGGCCACTTCGGTGATGACCTGAGCACTTTGTGGTCGCAAGTGAGTGCAATTTTACATACATCAGTCCGCTCTCCATGAATACACAATGTTCTGAGAACACAAGTTGCACCGTAGAGTTTGCCCTCGACAGGAATACACCAACATGTCAATAAGCAAGGGACCCCTTGATACACCCGTTGTTGGTTGTACATATGACTGTCCGCCTTGTTTGTATGTACCCGGGACCATGTGTTATCCTATCCATCAGCCAGCCTTATAACGAGAATGTAAGCACTAGTTCTGCAACCATGAAGACGGCCGTGAAACTATGCGATTTGAAGCTGCCGCTGGCCGAAACTAGACGCCTAAGCGACTGTATCAATGGTTGACGGATGTGGTGGCGCTCCCAGCTTACCATCCTCTTGCTTCCTGATGATCTCATTGTTTATCGGCCGTCAAAATGGTGGTCTTCGAGAAAAGTTTGAGTGGTCGTCTGTCCACATCTTCGAATGGCGTAGTACGGTGCGAGAAGGGGCCTACATACACGAATCAGTGGCAGACAGTCAGAACGTTTAGTATGCAGAATATCGCCCAACCTCTGGATCTTTTGGCTTCCAATATTCCTGCCACTGCTCTCGTACTGGAAATGGTTGGCTCACTGGCTTATCGGCTCCCTCGCTTCCCCTTCCCAGTCGAAGTTCCAGCTTGCTCCTGAACTGTACCCAAACATAAGCTGACGGACTCGACACCTTGCTTCCCGACTCGGTGCCGGTCCAATACCACCCGTGACCCTCCAGCCGATGTTCGGACGGGAAAGGATCTTCCCATTCCGTATATAAGGACACTTCATGTCTGTCAGCAACTGCAACAGAGTGGCGCAGTGGAATCCCGAACGAACCATAGACATGTTGAACGGCAATGAGATGAGAGCCAAGGGTTGCTTCCATGCCTGACAGAGGCACAGCGAAGCACAGTCCACCGGAGAACAACAAATCATGGGCATAGGGCATGTAGACGAAAAGTGTTCTTTATCTGTACCCGTCTGTCCTGTTACTGCAAGCGGGGGATCGGTAGCTCGAGGAGGGAGACCATGGTTGCAAGGCACAGTGGTGAGAATGGAGTCGAAACTGACTGGTTGTATTGAACCGTGGTTGTTTTCTTTGGCCTTTGGTAGGTGCGCCAGGGTTGTCGTGCGTTGGGGAGAAAAGATTTCCGAGTATGGGGTTTTTGAATCGTCCTACCACCCATTACAAACACCGCTGGGTCACTGACTATAATATGCCGTCATCCATCGCAGGGCTGATTCCACTAGCTTTAGCGAGGTCACCCTTGAGAGACAGTCTGGTGTAATGGAATGGGCGTGGTGAACTTGAATTTCACTGTGCGTTGAACGGCGGTGCAAGATGCAGATTGACTTTGTTGCTCATCGTCCTCAAAACGGACTGTTTCGGCTCGTTGTAACGTATTGTAATCTCTCTGTATGATTCATTGTGTTGCGACACCCAGGTTCGTAAGTTTGGTGTTTATGCAGCTTTATTGACGCTTCACATAGAGAGTAATTCAATGACAAAGGCTAAAGGGTATCAACAAAGGATGTCTGTCCGTCTGAGCAGCCAATGTCAACAGGATGGTCCTCGATTAAGTGATTTAGAGGCTAAATACCTAATGTATATCTGGTAGCGCGAGAGGAAGTGATCATGGAAGATTCTTGGGAACCGAGGGAAAGAAGGTTGGATCTTGCAGTCTTTCACGGTTGCGCTTTGCAATCTCGGCCTGCCTCTTCTTTAACAGGCGTTGTTGATAGAAAGTACTGTGATAAACGGATTAGTCAGATATACTGAGCATTTTCGGACGAAGGAGAAGACAACGAACGGCTTGAGTTCAAATATCCTTGGCTCTTCTTCCACGGGAGGCGATTTGGTCCCTTCTCTACTTGTGCTCTGCGTTCATGTCACCCAGTAAGTATGAGACGGTGAAAACACATTGGCTGCCGATAGGAGGCTGTATGGTGCACAAACCCTAGAGCCCTTGGAATTTTCCTGATCTTTCTCATCCTTCTTCTCGTCTTTATCTTTGCTCTTGGCATCGTCTTTCTTATCCTTTTCCTTCTCCTTGTCCGCTTCCTTCCCCTTCTCCTCTTCCTTCTTCTTCTTTTTCTCCTCGTACTCCTTCTTCACTCTCTCAATCTCTTCTTCTAGCTCCTTCTTCTTCCGGGCCTCAATAGCTTCGGTGTCAATTTTTGGGGTGCAGAACGACGGCTCCTTAAGATGGCTTGGGCAGATGTAAAAGAAATCCTTGTTGTCTGGGGTGATGAGGACGCTGGTGCTGAGCCGGTAGCAGATGTCGCATGACTTTGCCTTTGTCTCGGCCACCTTGCGGTGTGTATAAAGGTTTGGAAATGACATGCTCGACATGCTCGCTTGCTACTAACAGATAATGATGAGGGCGGTTGTCTCTTTTGTTGGATGGACTTGGGAGGCAGTTGACATGGACGGCTGACAGGGACGCGGGGTTCAGCTGCCAGCCAAGGAATCATCTCAAGCCGAGCCGTTGTCACTTGCCAACAACATTCACAGACCTTGGGCTTGTCGGGGGTTAGGGTTAAACACGTACTCATCGGAGTCATAATATGGAGCTCCCAACCTAATCCCCGCGCCTCCACTGTGACTGTACCTGAGTGGAGTCGTCCACAGCTCTCCCGCTCAGGTCCATAGGTCGCGGGGAAGCTTGTTGTTATCAGTTTTCAATTGCGCTAAGCCGTTGCCGTGGTCCCTGAGCCTCCCGTCGTAGGGCTGATACTGGGAGCTTCAGTGAGCGTTATCGCTGTCGGAAGGTGCCGGTCCAGTAAAAGAGCTCCCCTCCACCTTGGAGTGCCGACGCAATTGAGTCATCCAGCGATGATCGGCGGGTACAAACCCGACGTACCTCACCTTGCGTCCGCTGTTGACTAACTTTTTTTGATTATTTATTTCTTGTTGTGTTTGTTGCTCTGCCTTTTCTCTCCAGTCTTCTTCTGCATCTATCTAAATCACATCTCCTTTTTCAATTGCATACCGTTCCGCAGCTCGAACTTCAAGCGACGGCAAGCTCGTACCCACCGACCTCATCCCAATTGACAGCCACAATTCGGTCCAAAGTCACGCAATCATGAGTGGACAGGCCAAGCCCACCGAGAACATGCTCTGGGGAGGTCGCTTTACCGGTATGCTTTGAGCGCTCTCTTCTCTTCTCTATTACTTCTAGGATGCTGTATAGCAGTGCTTCATAACACAATGGGGGAGTTCATAAGCTAACATGGACGCTCGCAGGCGGCCTCGACCCCCTCATGGTCCAGTACAACGAGTCCATCCACTTCGACCGTGCCCTCTTCGCCCAGGACATCACCGGCAGCATTGCCTTTGCGCGCGCCAACGCCAAGGCCGGCATCATCACCCAGGACGAGTTCAACAAGCTAGAGCAGGGTCTCCTGGCTGTCAAGAAGGAGTGGGAGGACGGTACCTTCAAGATTGTCCCCGGTGTCGACGAGGATATCCACACTGCCAATGAGCGTCGTCTCGGCGAGATCATCGGAAAGGATGTTGCTGGCAAGCTTCACACCGGTCGCTCTCGTAACGAGCAAGTTGCTACCGATATGCGCATGTGGCTCCGCGACGAGCTTCGCAAGATCGAGAAGCACCTTCAGGACTTCCTCAATGTCACTGCTGCCCGCGCCGAGCAGGAGATCAATGTCATCATGCCCGGATACACCCACTTGCAGCGCGCTCAGCCCGTCCGCTGGAGTCACTGGATGCTCTCCTACGGCTTCGCTTTTGCTAGCGACCTCGAGCGTCTGCGCGAGGTTATCAAGCGCGTCAACCGCAGTGCTCTTGGTTGCGGTGCGCTCGCCGGTAACCCCTTCGGCATTGATCGTGAGATGATGTCCAAGGAGCTTGGCTTCGATGGCCTCCTTTGGAACTCCATGGGCGCTGTCGCCGACCGTGACTTTGTTGCCGAAACCCTCCAGTGGGGCTCCATGTTGATGCAGCACATCTCTCGCTGGTCCGAGGATCTCATCATCTACTCTACTAGCGAATTCGGCTTCGTCAGGCTGGCGGATGCCTACTCCACCGGCAGCTCACTCATGCCCCAGAAGAAGAACCCCGACAGTCTCGAGCTGCTCAGGGGTAAGGCCGGAAGGGCTTTCGGTCACATGGCTGGCTTCATGATGACCCAGAAGGGCATTCCCAGCACTTACAACAAGGATCTCCAGGAGAGCTGGGAGCCCATGCTCGACCACGTCAAGACGGTTTCTGACAGCATCCAGATTGCCAACGGTGTCCTGGCTACCCTCAGCATCCAGCCCGAGAAGATGAAGGAGTCCCTTGACCCCTTCATGCTCGCCACCGACCTTGCCGACTACCTGGTCCGCAAGGGTGTTCCTTTCCGCGAGACTCACCACATCTCTGGCCGCTGCGTTGCCCTCTCGGAGCAGACCGGTATTCCCATGGACAAGCTTTCATATGAGCAGCTCAAGGGTATCGATGCCCGCTTCGAGGAGGATATCTCCAAGGTGTTCGACTATGAGAAGAGCGTTGAGATGCGCTCTGCCAAGGGTGGCACCAGCAAGGCTTGCGTCCAGGAGCAAATCCAGGTTCTCAAGTCCATGATTGCCTAGATGATGAGTCTGGACAGTCCGTGTTTCTTATGTATGAGGGATCTAATGGAGTTTTGCACGGAGCCGGACAAAATGCTGCGATTTTACGATGTACAATAGCTATGAACTGGGACATGATGAAGCGTTATGGGTGTAAAAGGATCTTGACATACTTGTAGCATGGGATTTATGATGCGCTATAGTGTTGGACATGGAGCTTTGTTTATATAATTCAAAACCATGACTTACTTTGGCTTTCCAAACCCCTGATTGCTCCCAAATCTGTCCGATTGAGGCCTGTACCCTAACCCTTGTAGCTGCCAAAGTAACACTCGCCCGAATACAGGGAACAGAGCAAGTCATTTACGCGTCAAAAGCTGACGTAACGAACGCCAATTCAAACTCCAGAACACGCATACATCTTTCACGTAGACATCGCCATCGCATCGCCAATTCTACAGATCTTCGCCTAGTCAAGTCATTGAACGTCACCATTGCCTTTTGCGATACCCTCAATCAGCTGTTCCACAGTCAAGCTACTTCCATAATCGCTGCCATGGCAGCCAAGCTCGATTCCCAGCTGCTGGGACTCGTGTTCCAAAGCCGACCCGACATTTTGAAGGGCATTCAAGAAGCTGCTGGTGTGTTTCTTTTTCTTAGGACAGACCAATTTTAACTTGTAGCCGGCAGTCCGCGACCCGTCTCACAATCGCTTTGTCTGTACCTGTTGGCTAATTTGGATGGCACCTTGTCTGATGTAGACTCTCCCGCGCGCATCGATCTTTTCAACAATATCGCATCTTTTGTGTACGAGAGGATAGCAGACAACACATCCGAAGAACCAGCCACCAAGAGGAGGCGTGTCGAAGCACCAACAAGCGGTTCCAATGGCGCTGCTCACCCGATTGCGGGCTCACAAGCAGCAGTGCTCGGTGCAGACGCCGCCGCCGCCGAGCCAGTACTCCTAGAGATCAAGGACATTTCCGTTTCTGTGCCCCAGCGCAAGAAGTACGACTTGTGCTTTACCAAGAACTTTCTCTATGCTCGCGCTTCAGGCTCTCCGGTGCCTGTTCAAGGCATTGTGTACCCATGGAAAGACATTGGTTCGTATTTCCATCTTTCTCAACATGAAAGATGACGGTTTTGCTGAAAGATTTCTTATAAACAAAACAGAACACGCCTTCTACCTTCCCGTACCCGACAAATCTCAAGTCCAACACAACTACGTGCTCCTCCCGCGCAACAGCTACCTACCGACAACCAAGTCCCAACAATCCACCGACCAGCAGACTCAACAACAAACCACTGCGCCGCTCGAGCCACTCGTGTTTACCATCCCCTCCACTGCGCCCAAGCCAGGCACCATCACTGGTCCGTCCGCCGCCGCCGCTGCCCCCGTCTCCGACAGCTACGCGACACTCTTCCACTGGGCTCTGACAACGTCTTTGCACGCGGCGGGCAACCACGCGTGCGAGCTCGTGTCGTCCGACCCCAAGGTGTTCCACTCGGTGGCGCGCCAGGCGTACCGCCCACAGGAGAAGGCGGTGCACGTCAAGGCGTTCCGCGGCAGCAAGGACGGGTTTCTGTTCTTTTTGCCGACGGGCATCCTGTGGGGGTTCAAGAAGCCGTTGCTCTTTTTGCCGCTGGACAAGATTGTGGCGGTTAGTTATACGAGCGTGTTGCAAAGGACGTTTAACATAGTGGTGGAGCTGGAAGGAGGAGAAGGGAGTGAAGAAGGGGGGCAGGAGATTGAGTTTAGCATGCTCGACCAGGAGGATTATGCAGGGATTGATCAGAGTTATGTGAGGAGACACGGGCTGGCGGATCGTAGCATGGCGGAACAGAGGAAGGCGAAGAAGCAGCTGGCGGAGAATGCGAAGAAGGCTGCGGCCAATGGCGAAGAAGGCGAGGGTGTTGAGGGCGGTGAGGCTGATGATGGACTGACGGAGCTGGAGAGGGCGCAGAAGGAAGAGGAGCAGAGGTTACAGGATGAGGAAGATGAGGAGGAGGAGGATTATGATCCGGGTAGTGAAGGGGAGAGTGAAGGCTCAGGGTCGAGTTCCGAGGAGGAGGAGGAGGAGGATGGCGAAGGAGAGGGTGATGAGGATGACGATGAGGATATGGGTGAGGGACTGGAGGGTGAAGAATAACCACCTTGAAGTGTCGAGCGTTTTCAGTCATGTTTCCTGGGAAGGTCCATCAAGATGTTATACCATTATGAGGCCAATATATTATTTTTCCCATTTCAAATGCTACCCAATTGGCCTTTCCTTGGAAACAGAAAGTCTGGTATTTTTTCAGAATCCGAAAACATACATGACTTTCAACAAGCAAATGATTGGCTTGTAGAACTTCGGCGCGTGAATCGGTATCATCCAGACAAATCTCGTTAGAAAAGAATGAGACCAAAAACAAAAAAAAAAAAAAAAAAGAAAGTGACATCGCAACATCTCCCCCAATCTGGCAACCCGTTCGCCGATGCAGTCAGTATGTACCTACCTATCTTAATAAGCGAGTCTTACAACCGTTTGCAGTACTACTTCAACGTCTTCACCGTTACTGTTCCGGAGAGTACTTCAATACTGTAGACACCTAGCACCGTTTGACTGAGGAAGGATATTAGTATCACGCCATCCCCTGGGTCCTCCTAACCCTCCGACTCTCCTTTTGCCTGAGCTGCGGAGGCCGCCGACATGGAACATTCCGCTTTCTTTCTTTTTTCCTTTCTTCGTTCCGAATGTCGCATTGCCTCTACCATAGAAGCCTACCTCTACATACTTACATTGGATGCTGCCTTGGCCCGAACAGTCATTTAGTCTACATTCTAATTTACATACCCCCGTCAGCCAGATGGTAGTTACCTAGGTATCTTTGCTAAACCTATCAAGACGTGTGTGTCTATGTACATATGGGCGTCCATATCGTTCGTTTGTATGTATGGGGGGTCACGATCTCGGATGA